ATGCATGGCTGTTATTACATAAATGAATACATGAACTAATGACTTGCCTGACTGTGTTCATCTTTCAGATAGAATTGTGGTTAGAAAAATATAAATTTATGGTAACATATTTACCATTGTTCTTTTTAATGAACAAAGTTGAGGTTGTCTGCTATCTTAGTAAACGAGGTAAAATAGGTTATATTATATATATATGTTTTTGTTTTGTGTTTTTGTTAAACACGTCTGGCAATAAGGACAAGAGTTAAGCACTGACATTAACAAGCAAATATATTATTTAGGTACTTTTGAAAATACTATAAATTGCACTCAACACACAAGGAAATCAGTGTACACGCATAAATTATAGTATAAAGTATATATATTTTAAAAGCTCCATAACAAATGAGTTTTAACTAAAAATTATGGGTACAGAGTCACATTATTTGGTTCATAATATTGCTATCCGATATGGCCAAGAATTATATTCTTTACACGGGTCGTCCGTTTCCTAAACTGTTTTAATTACCAGGGACTACTGGGCATCAAAGTGTGAGATGGTAAGTACTAAACTCCAAAGACTTTTTTTATAGTCTCCGCATTGGATTATAACTTGCAACAGAGTGTGCAAAGCAACAAGATGGATGTTGGACCATAGTGATTCACAAAGTTTAGTAGATTGATTTCCTATATCAATACAAGACTTCTAGAGAAGTGATCTGATTCCATTTGTTCCATATTGCCATTAAAATAAAAGGAGCATTAACTGAGATTTATAGAACTGGTCAAAATCTCTCTCAGTGGAGAGTTAATATTATTAATAACATAAAAAGTTGCGCTGTGTCTTTAAATCGCAATGTTCAGTGTTTGCCATAACCACAATAAAATAATATTTTGAAGATCTGCAAATATATACATTAAAATGCTTTTCAACAAAAGTGCACTGTGTATTATTTATAAAGCGCCAACAAATCCCATAGCCCTATACAATAGGTGGACAAACAGACATGTAATTGCAACAAGACGAGCCATGTGCGCAATAAGAGAGGGTATTGCGGGTCCTGCTCAAACAAGCTTGCATTCTAGTGTAAAATAAATTGTTGCAGTAAAGTGCTTTTCAACAAATGTGCAGCATGTAAAAAAAGATATGCAATAAAGTGCTTTTTAACAAAAATAGTGTATTCGTGATACGTAAAAAAAAAATATATATAAAATATAAAATCTCTATATACAAAGAAATAGTAATGGACTGAATCACTCACAAACATAGAGCAGATAAAGACTGCCCAGGCAATGAAAACTCCAAACATCCAGCTCTATACGATGTTATAGTATGGAATCATAGATGGGGATTAACCGATGGGCAGCAATGAAGGTAAGTCCATGATTTTGACACAACAGAAACAAATAAAAGCAGTGAATGCTAGAAGTCCCAAGTTGCCTTAACACAGTTCATTCTCAATTGCTCTTGAATCCAGTTTCCGGCAACGCTGACTTTTGGAGCACACTAGGAGCACGGTTTGGTACTTCTTAGAGACAGGGAAATTACGTCCTGCATATACGATGACCATTTCGCTAATACACGGCAGTTAATACAGTTAATATTATCAATATTGCTCTAAATAGAAATTGAAAGAGATTTTGAGTTTTTATCTGGTGTTGGTGTTCTCATAACCCCTTTTTGAGGGCTTTGTTCCAGGTCTCTTCCTCCAACGTTTTTATGATTTAGCAGAAGTCTCTTTATTTACTGAAGGTTTTCTCTAATCACCTTGCACAGAGCTGGATTAAGGCTGCCCAGAGCCTTAGGACGGGTGCCAGATTGTGGTTCCCTCCAAGAGCCTCTGTTTCTGTGAGTGATGTGTGTTAACTGAATGTGTATGCGAGAGCGTGTGCAGTGGCTGATTATTTTTTGTGGAGGAACGGCAATGTTATGTATATTATATTAAATAAGGTCTGTTTAAATATACATATAAGTCCCTTTTTATTGTTTTAATAATTTTATACCTGTCATCATATTTCCTGGTTCACAAGCATCCTACAAATCCCAGGTGGGGATAATACCACCAACGCCTTTCCAACCAGAGCAAGTCATTGCTCTGGAAATTGTAAGTAGGATACCACTTTTTTTATCACCTACCGTTTGTATTGATATACTACACCATAAGACTTTTCCTGCTTTATCTCTCCTACATATATTGGATGTCAACTATAACAAAGCTCCATATATCCTAAGACAGGGATTGTACCATTGAGGCGACATGCAGAAGAGCTCTTAATAGCTCAGTAAAGTGTGAGTTAGTCCTCTATACACTTTTCTCGAAGCACAGCAAATATAAGTTACATATTGCACTATTTGTTGTTCTTTCCTTTTTGTTTTGAGGTTATATAATCAATCCAGACCTGTATTAATTGACAAAGAAGTGTATGTAATTATATACATTTATAGTAACACAATGGTGTTGTATATTTACACTTCACCTTTTGGGTGCGGTTTGTCACCTTGTTTGTTACAGTCATTTTTGTGGTGGAACGTGTATGGGGTGAGATGAGTATATCTGTGAGTGCTTGTTGAGTATTTTGTGTGGTGGTTGAATTTTGTTTGTGTGTGTGCGTGCAGCGGAGTTTTTTGTGTGGCTGAGTATTGTGGAGTGTGAACAGGATCCCTGATGGTCCAGGTGAGGGTGAGTTGGATTCCTTATGGTCCGTTGAGGGAGCTCCATTGTCTATAGCAATATCAGGTACAGATCACTTTAAGAGCAGCCTTATGGTTCTGGCAATGATTCAGAAAGCACACTAAATTGTTTAAAAGTGCCAGAGAGACCACAAGGGTCCTCTTAAAGTGGTCAGTAACTTATATTGGTAGAAACCACACAGGCCCCCTAATCAAAGTGAGGGAGTGCAGAGATATTTTGATCTCCCTTCTGGTTCGCAAAGGGAAAACTCAGCGTTGGAGTTCCAATCCCAGAGCGGGCCCTCCTGGCCTCTGTCTGAGCCTGGCCAGTAGGCTGCCGCATTGGTCACCTAATGGGTGATCCAGCTCTGATTATGCGTACTTTGCATCATTGTACAATAGGGAAGACACCCTTTGCCAGAGTGAGAGAGCTGAGCTCTAAAACAAAGGTAGTGAACTGGGCTGTGTATAATCTATTAGCAGCCAAGAGCTGGCTATCTGTTTGCAGAGCAGTTCAAATCATCCTATGTGATGATTTGAACTGTTCCTTGGGAATAACCTACGTATACCATAATTCTAACAGGTTAGTCACATATTTATTTATATTTGTATGCATTTAAATAATACCAAAACATTTTTTAAGAAGAAGATCCCTTTGAGACACAAATCAAAGATTGATTACAGAAATTGATTTTGAGAAAAGTCTTTCAAATCTAAGGTTTTATCAAAGACAAAAATATATAATAAGAGGCCTCATAAATCTTATTAATCTAGATTAATTGAAATACATAAAATATGTAATCATACATAGCACAAATACTAATATTACTACGATTCCAGAAGATGAGCATGGGACTTTTATATTGGTAAAAAAAAATCATCTTTTGTGGAGTAGAAAGTTCTGTAAGTTAATGAATATACTTAAGGCAAGATGTTTTTATACATTCTAAATAAATGTACAACATAATATTAATGAGAAAATAAATGCTTCTTGACACAAAACAGAGGTTAAATGCTGGGAGCATAATAACAGAATAAAAAAACGTAGAGGATAATGGAATATTCTAATGTTGCCTTCCTTTGGAAAAATAGTGCAGTTACGTGGCATATTGCAATTCAGACTGTTTATCACTATGGAAACTTGTTTGTTAATTATTGTCATGCATGGTCGTGTGCAGCCCATTTCATTAGGGTGTGATGTTATTTTTCAATATTTTTCAATATTAAGTAATGTGAATATTGTGAATGTTGAGTAAATGTGTGGTGTGGATGTGTGTCTTGTGTAGGTGCAGGGTGGCTGTAAGTGTTGTAGTTGTGTGTCAGGCTGGCTGTTCTTAATGTGTGTATAACTGTGAGTGGTGTGTGTGGCTGTGTATGGGTAGCTCTGAGTGGCCGTGAGTGATACGTTTGGGGTGTTGTGTGCAATGTGTGATGTGTGGAAAATACATATGGGAAGTAGTGGAATTTTCATTTAGTACACGATGGGAAGGGAGATTCAAGTTAACTGTCACAAGTCCAACAGATAACCCTAAGGGTTGCTGAGGGGAATACAAGCTACCAGATGGGCTACCTTTGGAGATATCCTATCAAAGAGCTTGACGTATAGGCTAGCTGAGAGTTGTCTTTTTGGTTTCTTGCTATTGGTTAGTTTTCCAGCTATTTTTTTTATAAATGTGCCCCCAGAACCCAAAAATTAGAATACAATGTAAATTTAACTTTTGTTAATTTAAGAAAATAAACAAGCAATATTGATGTAAAAGGGTGTTAGGATAAAATGGGTGCAGAAGTGAAATATCACATCTGAAAAATGGTGTTCCCAGGCACATCCACACACCCCTTGCCCATTTGTATAACAGAAGGCATGCAATTTTTTTTACTTAAGATCCAAGGTGGTAAGGCATTGGGTAACAAGAATCAGACCCTTCACATTGCTTTAATTCTCTTGCTTTTTTGTATTTTCATTTGATCAACATTTCATTGAAAATAATGAAAATTACTCACATTCTAACGTACATTATTAAAATGCAAAGTGATGCAAGTCAACTAATGTCCTTGGCAAATCCTTCCCCATTCACATTATCCTATTAGCACAGGACACTCATTTTATATTGCTTTTACTTTTCAATAACCTATATTCACATACCATATCTATTTGCTCAAATACATATTTAACAAATAACATACAACCTGTTAAAATATCTCTTTGGATGAATAGATATCTTCACAGATTTATATTTTTGAGATACATTTGGAATACTGAAGAAAAAGAAAAACAAGATTGTAATTTTTCTTTAATGCAAAGCTAAAACTTTTTACATGCATTCGACAGTGCAAGAGACTGTGAAATGTGGCCCATTTAAAGTAACTCATTGTTATGAATTATTAATGAAGCATTAAAGCTACTATTTATACAGTCAACGTAAGACATGTTAGATATGGCACAAAAGCTGTTTTAAACCCTGTATTTTGCTTTTGTTAAAAGGGAAATCATTTACAGATTATTTGCTATCTGAGCAAGCGTAATAGCACAATTACGATGGCTGACCCAGTGAATAAAGCATGGTGTCTCATTTTTGATCAAATCCTACTGCAATCTACAAGCCAGTTCGTAAAATGAAATCTATCAAAGTTTCAACACTCACTTGAACTAGTCAAATCCTTTTGCAGTTTAGAGAGCCAGCTGTCTTGCAGAGACAGTCAGTTTTATTGTGCAAATCAATTTGTCTCCACTGACGGAAAATAATTGCTAAGCAAACAAATTATCTCTGCTACATTGAATTCTATTCACTCCAGGGATTTCGAGCATAAAGCTTCAAATGATTTTTTTTTTTATTCTTTCCTCAAATTATGACCTCGTTTTCAAAACAGTAAAGAATGTGGCTGCGAAAAAAAAGGCTTTGGTTATTTGTATAAGTCTATTTTTGGCAATAAAAACATTGTCTTCCTTAACGATGTGAAATAAAGTGACATAATTATTACAGTTGGTTAACGCAGCAATATATGTATATTTATACAGACATTAAGAAGAAAACGAGGAGGGAAGGACACACAATTGAGATAAGAAGAAAAACAAAACATATTCATAAATTATAATCTCATGTCTGATATTTAGCAACACAGTTATGGTTGCCATTACAGTTGTTGAAGCAATCACAATCCCACCATCATGACAGCACTTTATAAAGTGATCGGTGAAAAGTGCCCTGTATCTTACACTAAACACTCAAGTTTCAGCAATTACAATTATGCCAAAGGTTTAACAGCATATACAAGGTTGTTCACTAAAATAAGAATACCATGTGAATTTCAAATTTACAGCCAGCGTAGCCACATGAAAAGAATTGCTGACTTAGAGGATTTAGAGGATTTTTCGAGAGAAATGTATTTTGAATTTGCTCTAAATTCTTACTTTACTAAATGACTCTGTTAGTAAATGTTACAGCTTAAAACTTGAAATGGATTTAATAATGGTTTTCTAACTATTAACCAAAACTCCAAATTATTTTGTATATGTTTGCACATAAGCAAAATGCGCACCACAAATATCTCTCCTAATTTGATGATGCGTGCAAGCAATGTCAACTAATTATTCCTTGTTAAACATTTTAGACCAACTAAAAGGATGAATAAGAATTGTAACTGTAGTATAACATATAAAATCTATGATGCGTGCATGTAATTAAATTTTAAAATAGTAAAACACCTAAATTTAAAGACTTAAAGACACGCACAGTCTGTAATGTCTGATTAGAATGCAATAGGTTATCACATTTATCAAACATTAATCAAAAGATCTGATTCATTATAAACTTCAATGTTTGATGTAGTCAATAAGCCCTCAAAAGAACCATTTTTATTCATTTATTTATTTTTGCTGCTAACCTTGTGATATCACTTTATCAAGCATGAAGTGACAAGATTAAACGGACACTATAGGCACTCAGACCACTTCAGCTCATTGAAGTGGTCTAGGTGCACCAAGTGCACTAAGTCTGCTTCCAGTATCCAAATGGACCTCTGGTCCAGTATCTGTTGCTGGACATCGTTACGCTCTGCTCTCTAAGTGACATCGGCGCTGGGATGAGATAAGTAATTAAAGGATTTATAATCCCTTATTGACTACCGCGGGGTGGTGCGAGGGAGGTTGCTATGGTGCCAGGATTAAAGCTTTTTATATAATAACTATAATAACTCTTACATGATGCAAATGTCAGGAAATGTTACCAAATCTTTAGCTATACTATACTACAGTTTACCCCTTATATACAGATAGATAAGACAGAACACCTGACACCAGCACTCTCAACCAATCAATGCTCTGTTCAAGTTCGACAAGATTGATATTTATAATGTGGAAGTGATGTTTCACATTATCAATACAACCAGGGGCATTGCTAGGGAGGGGCTTGAAGGACCCTAGTTCTGACTTGGGTTCTGAGAAGCCCATGGTCTAAGTTTTGCACCATTTGTTTGTTAGCCTTGAGTCCCCTGTAATGATGAGAGATAAACAGCTCCAATTATATAATGTGTAACAGTGCAACTTTAATTCAGCATATTTGCAGGTATTGCTGTTGGTGGGGTAAAAGTTATAGCACGGCTTGAGGGTAATACAGAGGTGTGGAGTTTAGATTCAAGTAATATTCAGGATTTTGCCACATTTGAGTTGTCGAACACATTTGGGTTTATGTTTGGACATAGGGCATTATATAAGGCTGGTGTTATGATGAACTTGAGTATCCTTGGTCTTTTTGTCAATTAGCAACACTCCTGAATACAGCCGAGATAGGGGCAGTTCTTGGACACCAAGAAGAGACTGGTTTACATCAAGCCATTCCTTAACAATATGAAACCAGGGGATGATGTCAGGACACTGTAGGTAACAAACCACTGCATCTTGTTTAGTATGCCCCTTTAAATGTAGAGCAAAAAAAAAAATGTTAGCAAATAATTTATGATGCATACAATTAAAAAATCCAACCAATGCAAATAAAATGTATTTATAGCTGTACAAAGAAATTTCCATAAATCTTTTATTAACTCTGTGTCCGAAGTATGGATGCATAATAAAATACATTGAAAATGAACTTTGCAAACGTTAAACGTCATTACACCAAGATAACTTTAAAATACAGCCACTGGCAACTTTGTAAAATAACATTTGTTACCATTAATTATACTGGTTGCTAGAAAGGTTTCTGGATTCATGGATATATGCAACTGATGTTTATTAAGAGCTACTAACCCTATTACACCTATACGGTAGTGTAAGGTAGGTGATGTAAGAATTTACATTAAAGGAACATTCCAAACACCATAACCACTTTAGTATGCTATGAATTTTGTCCAATAGTGTCCTGGTGCCCCCATATCGCTCTTTGTCTGAGCTAAGTCCTGCATTGCAGGGCAACCCTTCACGCTTGTCTCACGAAGCATTGAAGTAGGCAAATCCAGTATGTGGTTGGGCACTCTTTATAATAAAATTCCACTTTTTTACATATTAGGTGCTTCCTCGCTATGCATCATCACAAAAATCCACACCCAGTATGTTAACAGCCAGGTGCAATGTATCAAACATGGTGGGCGCCTGGGGCTGTGATTGACATATTTGAATTGACAGACATATAAAGCGTGTTTTATTACGGCACTTTTCTTTGTGGCTTATACCCTTAAGGAGCAGTGACTGTCTATGCTATGATAACAATCTGGTCCATGACAACCTTATTTTGACATGGAATGTCCTACTCATTTTGTGTTAAAGCTCCATAGAACTTCTGATGTTAAATACGTTGGACATTTCACATTGGCACAGCATCTGTAGGAAACAGATTTTGATAAAAGTATGTAGCATTCCGCAACATAGTATAACAATGAGGGGAATCAAATCGCTGTGGCTTTAAAGAACATAACTGAGGTTGTAGCAAGTTCTATTCTGATATCAGTTTAAAAAATACCCAAATACCTCTTCTGACTAGTGCGAATTCTAAATCAAAAACAGACAAAACACTAGACTTGTACACAGATTTCAGTTAGGCCAAAAGGTCTTTTTGAGTTTTAAAGATACAGTGGTTCAGCCCATGCAAATAATTTGAAAAAAAATACTTTGGACAAACAGAAGGTGGTCTGAAAAATAAGCATCTTATAGTATTTATATGTATATATATTTTTCATTACAACGATAGGTTGATTTGTGAGTACTTTTAGTGAAACTAGTACTTGTCGGAAACCAGCTGACCAAATTTTTACCGAATTCCAACCAAATAGTATGGTATTTTACCATTCACATTTGGTCAATATTTATGATTTTGAGCGTTTGCTTACTTTTAAGCATTTGGTTGTGTACAAAGCACAAATAACTATCAGACTGGTTTAGTCTAACCTTAGCTTATAAGCCTGGCATGTCTAAACTAATGAGAACTGTAACATATCCAAAGAGCACCCACATTGATCTATTGTCTGCTATACTTAAATAAAATTCTATAATGAGTTTGGAGAAAAAAAAACATTAATATTGTATGTTAAAAAGTATACCTTGTTTATGTATCACAATATTTTCATGATTACAGCATTCAAACATTAATAACTGAATAATCAGAAAAATATATATTTGTAATAACCATAGAAATGACTTGAAACGTTATTTACAACTTATCAGTCAACGAGAAAAAACACAAGCCACCAAAATTACTATAAAGTACAAGGTAAATTGAATTTATTTTACTGGTTTATAGAATAACGCATATCACGATGATAATGATCCTTCATTTAACAAAGGACTGTAAACCTAGATACCTAAGAAATTCAGACGATGTTGAGCACGTGATCAGACAAATAGAAGATACTTAAACTGACAACCCAGTGCGATTAACATATCTTTGGATTTATGATCCAAATAAACAGAGGAAGCCCAACAAAGTTCAACAGCTCTACTTAAAAATAGATCACCAGGAAGGAACAATAAAAAACAAGCTTTAGAGAATGCAAATATTGATTATCAAAGGAAAATGAATGCAAACAACTCAATGTTACATTAGATTCATACACTTAACACGAAATGTTAGATCAGTGCTTCCCAGCCTTTTTGAGTATGAAGGCATTTCAAAAATGTTTTATTCCCATAGAACAAAACGTCTAGTTTTCTGATTTATTTTCCTCTAACAGTGGCTATTACTCCTCAATTCTCTTCCTCTTATATCCAATTATCTCTGGGGTCTTCTTGTTTCTCCTCTTTGACAAAGTTTTCATTCCTGTTGTCCACCTACTTGTTTCCTTTTAATCCATTTCTCTTTTACCACTCCTCTTAGTTCTCAAGTTTTTTCTTCTCCAAAACCAATACTCAGAATTTTGACCCAAATACTTGGCATATCTATATGTGCTTGGAACTTATTATGCATTATTGCACAACAACGAAAGTACTGATTGCTGCAGTTACCATTGTATAATGTGTAGACCACTTACTCAATTCCCTACCCTTGAGGTCTATTCATCTCTCACCACAGATGTCTTCCCTTCAGTCTTACACTTTATAAACTAATACAATCTTTTTCTCCCGTATTGTCATGATAAAACTAAAGTGTAATTCCTACGATCCATTTTAGGTGTCAATGAAGGCATCACGCCTTAGGTGCAGTAATTGGAGTATACATTCTACTTTTTGACGTTACTCTACGAATACTCAAATAAAATAGGTGCCCATAGGGATGTAACGTTATAACAAATAACAAATGATTACATTGTAAAACTATGTTTTTAATAATTATATATAGGAACCCTCTTTACCCAGTGGAATTGTAGCATTTGTTACATTTTTGAAAAAAAATTATCTTTGATGTTTGTCTTTTTCCTCCACCACAAACCAAAAATATCACAATTTATTACAATGAATTACAGCATCCATTCAAAAGACAAATGCTATATATAAAAGTATACACAAGTATATCTATAAACATAAAATATTTGAATGGTTTATTAGATGTTACAGAACTTTTGAGCATAATAAATAATGATTATGAAGCACTCTATACCAGAATTCTGTTCCTTTTCGTGGCTTGTAAACATTTTAATATATAAAACGAAAAGTACAAAATAGACACTTTTCCTACAGCACATTTGATCACTTCAAAAAGAACATCAGTGTGAAACATTGAAAATACTTTCACCATGTTTTGTTTTCAGCTATAAAATGCAAACCTGATCTATACTTTAATTTTTAGAAATAAGCACTATATTCTCTAAGCCAGAAATCCACAAGCTCAATAATCCATAAAAAAATTGATTTCTGTGAGTGGTGAATATATGAATATTTCCCAGAAATGTAGGTTTTTAGCACAGGAAAACACATCCGGCCAGTAGTAATAATAAGATACCTATTCAGATT